GAATGAAAACGGGACGATAACGAAAACGGTATCATATCTAGCACGCTCTTATCTCACCCCTTTCCGCATCGATAAGTCCTACACCATTGCGGTACCCTTTCCCTTTCCACCACTCTGCTTTGACCTACGCATATTGGCACTTTGAATGTGGCAATATCTAAAAGTCCTTCGGAGGAATTTTTAGATGTAGCCACAGTGCCAGCATGCTTGTTTCTCCACCAATCGTGCGCTCTTTCTACCCTATCTACCACCATCGCTGTTAGTTTTTAATGGCCGCGCTGCCAATCCTCTTACAGCCACATGATGTGATCACCCCGACTTCCGAGTGAGTTCGAACTCACTTCCACTATTCTGACGGGAAATTCTGATGGAGGTCTTCACTAGGTTACCATGACCTCCAGATTGCCTCCTTCCTTGATTTTTTCAGGAAAAAATGATCAACAACAAAATTGCGCCCAAAATTTGGTGCAATATCCATTAGCTGCATACAGTAGCTGTAGGTGCACAGCAATGCTAAATATGTACATTTACTCTTGCAGATGGATTCGATCGCGAAACACAAACAAGATGTGAAACGAATGATCGCATATGATTTGGGGGGAGTTGATCAATCCCTATTCAAGGCAAGCTTAATTTTTTTTCTTTTCTCATACAAAGGAATCAAGTGTCTCCACGCTCCGACCACTCCACTAGGGAAGAGGCGGTGTGGCCAGACCCCTCCCATTACCTTATAGTACTGTCTCTGAATCAACTCCACCCTTTAGCTATCACATTCAATACCTTTCACTCAAAGTATACTTTTAGAAGTATCCCTTTCTGGAGTTCCGAACCTTCAATTTTAAACGATATCCGAGTTATGTTAAGAATTTAAGGGAGTATCGATGGAAACCACTAATGATCGCAGTAAGTTGCTGTGGCTCAGAATCAATAGCTAAGCGCTACACTGTTACGTCCTCATAATTTCAGTCGAAAAATGGTTGTAATCATTTTTAAGGAAGCTCTAACTGAGTTCAAAGCCATATGGTATATGGACACTTCTATAGTATTCACAAAAGGAGACCTGAGTCACGTTCACGAGTTGATCACCTGCCGGAACCACGTGTCTCAGCGGTAAGTGAACACCTTCACAGCAACCACACTCTGTAGGTAAAATGAAATGCTTGGAAAAAATAGTTTTTAGAACTACTTCATTTTCAATTCCTCTGACCATTTAGAATGACTAGTGCAGCTAATGTGCAGTCAATGTTTCTATCCTCCTATACAGGCCTTCATTTAGCCAGGCCTAGTTGGTTTCGATGGCGTACGATTCAGGATATTCGCGGAGCGTATGTGTTTCAAGATCAGTGAGATTACGAAGTCCGATGAGTAGTGCTACCGTAACCCGAGCTTAGTTAGTGCGGGTCACGGTAGCGTGTATTATGCCGCGTGTCAATTTAACACGTTGACGACAATGTGCCGCGTCATGCGCATCACCCTTGAAGACCCGTGTGGGTACACATGTGTGTACGCATTGCGCGGGCACACACAAATTTTAAATGTTCCTTCTACTCATGCTGCACTTCCTTTTCCGTAACTTTTTGTCAATCTATCTCTATGACCATTCACAATATAACCAGTCAACGGACGGGACCGTAGCCAATCGAATGGTTGTAATCACATAGCCTCTCTTTTTTTGCCGATGGGTTTTTCGAGTTCCTGATCGAATTTCCAGTTCGTTCTCCATTCCGAGATTTTCTTCTTGATATACTTGAACAACGCTTGCCACCTCAAAAAAGATCTTGGAAAGCTGGGACACCTATACATATGGCAAGATAGTATTATGTTTATAGTGGAGCAACCGTGTCAAAAATAATTGTGTTTGCACGACAAAAGCACTGAATGTGGGCCTTTGCTTTTCAATGCCAGGAGAACGAGATCGAGTCGAAGTTACAGTTCCGTTCTTCTGATAAGATCTGACACATCGAATATCATTCCGAACATTTTGTTGCATCCGAGTTTTGCGTAGTTAAAGCTCAAAATTCACGGATTTTATGTGAGGCGGCGGCGCCTGCAAAATCGCCGTGGTCCCACGCGGCGCAAAAACCCAAAACGCGCGTTTGTCAACGTGTTAAATTCGAGGCGTTGCGCTGTCATTTCCAGCCTAACCGGCGACAAGATGGACGTTCAGAACCTGTCTATTGTACAGAGTGTCTGAACTGTATATAGATAAAGTATGGCACCTGTTGGATTGCTCCTGGTCAGGAGAGGGGTTTGACATCACCCCACGGATTACCTCCCTTGCCCTGCACACGCAGCGTGAACGCTGCGCAGGGCAAGAGAGGTGAGCCCGGATATTTCGATAGTGCTAAGGGTGCGTGGCGTGTGGCATTCTGCATCCTCGACGCGAGACACGTATACTTATCCCACGTTGAACGCTGAAACGCGCACGCGCCCAGGGGCAACGTGGATTACGCGTCGTGGCCAGCGAGTTGTAAAAAACGGCTTGTCGATTTAAGCAGCGCAACTTGCGTTATTCAAAATGGCACAACAATTCTGAATGGATTTGGAATGCGTGACGCATCCCAAAAACGGATGTCCCAAAAAGGGATATCAGGAATGCTTAACTCTTTTGATTAAGTTTGTAGTGTTTTCGCTTCTATGTTTGAATTCTTTACAGTAACTTTCTTATCATTTTTTCACAGTCTTATACTCGATATCGGTGAGTTGGGGTGGGCGTGTCACCGGAAGTGACGTGCACTTGATAGAAACTATGTGGATAAGCTGCTTCCAACATACATCGCTGGCTATCAGCAAAGCATGCTGGCAACAGCTTATCCACGCACTTCTATCAAGTGCACGTCACTTCCGGTGACACACCCACCCCAACTTTCGGATATCGACTGTAACATCACTCATGGTCAGAAACGGTAGAGTGTCCTAAGAGGCCCGTCGTGCAGCGAAGGAAGAGACGCAGACTCGGCAAAGGAGGAGTCGCAGCGCATACTGCAGCGGTTAGGCGTCAGTTTCAATAGGACGCATTACTGGAACAACAACACTATTCATTTCAGGGCGTGGGCCGAAAATTAGACATCTGCTTATATACGCAGCGGAGTTCACTGAAAATGGAAATAAGCAGTGCCCAGCCCAGTGCTACAACGTCCTCAGTATTTCGAAATGAGCACTAGATATAATAGGCCATACTAAAAAAGGTAAATTCAAGAAAGGAAAAAAAGAGTTAAAGTTAAGGTTAAAGAAAAAAGCTAGCTTGGCTAAAATAGCAAAAGTTGAAGCGACTAAAATACCAGCATGTACGACCAACGATAGGCTCTATTACGAAGAAATGGAAGAGACGTAACAAAGACAATCAGTCTGGGGACAGTTGAATGTGGAGAAAAGTAATGGCTCAAAAAAAAAACAAGAAAAAGCTTCGCGTACTAGCTAATAGCGAATTCTGAGCCCACATCGAGGAGTGGATGGTGTTGTAGGCACTGTGCGATCTATTCAAATACATAGATGTCTAACCGCTACAGTATGCGCTGCGATTCGTGCTTTGCCGCGTTTGCGTCTCTTCCTTCGCCATGCAACAGGCCTCTTGGGGGACACCCGAGAAGGGAACGACCAATGATTCACAATATCGACCACAGGTACTCTTTTGGAGCTTGAGTTTCACGGTGAAACTCCAGTTCGGGGGGGCCACTCCATTTTTTCTCCAATACTCAAGATAAGGATTAGAGGGCTCACGACACGTAATCGACTCATTTAGAGTAGACTTCTGATAAGTATCGGTGTAATGTGGAAGAAACCCTGAGATGATTTCATATTTTCGCCTGTCTGGTCCAGGGAAACAGTCCTGGACCAGGAGAAAGGACACCTCCGCAAAGGGCTAAGGGTGCAGGAGCTCCAGGGTGGATCACCTGTGCAGAAAAGTGGATGGGATGTGGGCAGGTAGTGTGGAATGTAGGACATCCACCGGTCCTTATCAAAAGTACGCTCGAAATGAGTCGTTCACTTATTATCTTATCCGTAGTGTTCGATAGCCCAAAGAACTGCTCTCTAGTACTACGGATAAGATAGCAATGGAGTGGCCCCCCCGAACTGGAGTTTCACCCGTTTTCAAAAATAAAAATGTTCCAGAGCGGCTCAGTAAATCAGGCTGTATGGGGTTTATTTATTGATTTATTTAGTGTTCAAATCAGTGTACGCCAGCTATCCATTGATCCGCGTAATAAGTGTTAGGGCGGAAGTGGTGTAGTGACAAGTGGCGCGCTTACCACGCGAGCGGTCCGGGGATCAAATCCTGGGTCGTGAGTCGCCCGGGCCAACCAAGCCTTCCATCCCTCCGGGGTCGGTTAATTGGTACCAGACTTGTCTGGGAGATAAAAACACTGACTTGTACATCGGCTGGCCCCCGCAAGTCATTGTATAGGCCACATCGCATTCAAAAGCCACTGCGAATGTACAAATGGAAGTAGAATGCGTGCCGCATCCCAAAAAGGGATTGATCAACGGCAAATGCTTTATCCTTTATCCTTTATACGCTTTTTCACTTGCGTACCCAGCACTTCTAGCCATGGTGAGGGTTTCTTAGAAAAGGTCTGAGCCCGAACTTTGCCTTTAACAGCACGTCGAGGATTTTCGCGCCTGATCAGTTACGTTCTCGCGCTCGGATATTCACACTCGCCGCCACTGAGTCGTTCATTATCGACACTAACTTCGCCACAGAGAGGGCGATGAGCGAATCTAGAAGGATTCACCCTCGTTCGGTCCGGCCTGACTGGTGAGCGGAGTTAGTCCTGCACTGCAAGCTATTCGTTACCTCGGACGCTCTAGCGCCTGAAAGACCCGGCGATCGTCGCAGACCACAACACACGGCTCGATTCCCACCGCTGCGAAATAAATGCCAAAATTACACCGCTCGCTGGCTCGTCAACGTGGTGAAGTCGTCACGAGACTAAAGATAATGGGTGTACTCGCTCCCTAATTACGATAGGCCGCAAAAAGTGAGTCATAACTTTTTCGCCGATGTTTTAACTAATTATATGTATACGATTGATCACAGGTCGAACCGTAACAGGACATTCAGGCCTCCAATAAAATCTGTGGCTGAGAGGGACCTGAGGAGAGAGGATGGTACCTCTTGAAAGCGGCTGGAACGTCGAGCAATGGAAGGAAGCGGTGGCCGAATGCAGAAAAGTAAGCAGTATCTTCGGAGAGTCTAAATTATCGAGACACCTCTGGGAGTGTAGGTCAGGAAGTCCAGATTGCACGGCGAGACGACGTCGCGCGCTCGGCATTCATGGCACGAAGTTATACGACCACGTTGAATCCAAACGCTAGGAAGTAGCTAGCTAGATAGTTCTCTTTCCTCTCTTTACTATTTACTATTTACAGTCTTTACCAGAAAAAATTACTGCTTCCCTCTAATAATTTTTAAACGCCAAAGAGAAGAAGCCCGCAGAGCAACTACAAAATTTTGGGGTACACATCGTGAAATTAACGCGTCTGGACGACTTGCCATCACTACCAACCTATTCTATGCCGAACGTACACGAAGCGGGGAAGTCGACTCACAACCGGTAAGCCAATTTGACTTCCTGACTCAATACTAGTACATTTATAACCTTAGTCACATATAGTAGAGACTCAGTTGGGAATTTTGAAGAATACGGTACTGACTTACTGAATTTTTCAGCCGGGATTTCTTATGACAGCATTCACTGGTCATGGTATCTACACAGCCACAGCCCCTGGTATGCGGTTTCCTACTTTTTTCTAGTAGACTTTTTCACGCAATATGGAAATCAGAAATCTACGAGTTCATTCCAACGAACTACAAGGAAATTAAAAAATTCAAAGCGAAAATGTACGAATCTGGACTGACACTTGTAGTGAGAACAAATGACACCATGGAGGACATCCTCAAATGGTATGTTCCCCATGTCCACAGTTTTTTTATAACTTTGTGCTTAATAGAACTACACTGCTTTCAAGACTAAAACCGCCAGATCAAATTTGATTAGGCAAAGCCGCGTTATAGTTGAGGCTCTGGGATTGGATTTAGCGACAAAGAAGGAGATACATTATTGACAGGGCGTGACCCAGGATACAGTCGATTCTTCAAAAAGTATAATGGCACAAGTCGCCTCAAAATTCACGTTTGAAAGCGAACACGTAAGTTGTCTGGCCCTCGTGCGGACTCATTGAGTCCAATCCTTCTCAATCGATTTCTCGTAGTCGATAACCTATCAATGGAAGCAAAGCAGATAATATCGCCTCACTTTCGGAAAAAATTTTTTGGATGAAATTTTTTTCTTTGTTTCAAAAGTATGTGCACACTTGAAGAAGATCAGATTTTGGCGCCGAATTTTCCACCGATTTCAATCCGACTTTGCTGTTTTCATTTCGTCATCATGTCAATTCGCGCCATACTTCTTCCTGAAGATGAGCAAGCTCAGATCAAGGTTCTGCATGATAATGAACGTTCCAATCTAGAAATCGCACGATAACTTGGTCGTTCTCCTTAATGCATTCGAAGATTTATCTGGCACCCTGATAATTATACTCAGCACACACTCCGCTCCATCCACGATCCTTGACTGCTCAGAACAACAAAAGAGTAGCCCACATCCTGTCGGATTCTTCATTGACAGTCCGAGCTCAGATTTTTATTCCAGCCTCGAAAATGACCACTAAGCCCCTCATCCGCTCAAATGAATACACCACTCGACAGACGCTGAGAAAGGCTACTCACTTCAAGGCCCAGCACAAGTTAGCCACATTGGAGTCTGCTCGTACAGACATGGCAACATAGGATAGGACACCGGGCGAAGACACGGTTTTTCGAGAATTTCCTATTTTCAAAACAAGCAACTTTTTATGGACTTTCTCTCCTCAGGTAATCTTAACTCATGGAAAGAGTTCGATCTTGACGGGCCGGGTGGATTTTGCTACTACTGGAGAGGCTTGGCCGTGAGTCGCTCGTGCTCTCGAGAAGGAATTTCGGAAGAGGCCCGTTGATGGGTCTGCGGCGGTTTCGCAATCAGCGGAAATTCAGAAGTTGCCGTTCCATTATTGCGTATGAACTGTAAAGAATACCAAGCAGTGCTCCAATGTCACCTGTTGCCCTTTCTTAGCGAAGCGGAGCGAAAATTGCATTTTTAGCAACAGGACCACGTGTCTTTCGATGCTTCGCAATCTACCAAAGAATGGCCTTAACCAAATGGTGCTGAAGCGATAGATTGGCTTGTGTGTCCTCCTTACTGCAACCCTATAGGGAGCCCTTGATCAAGGCGTTAACTTTAGCAACCGGCAGTATAATACCGCGGATGAACTGAAGGCGGCGGTAGAGGCTATTTGGGCCGACAGCGACGAAACAGCTATGCCAAACGTGGTTCAGATTATGCCGGACAGGATGTTTGAGCTAATTAGAAACTCTGGAGGCCCCACTGATTTCTAATCTCAGCTATGTTTTTGTCTTTTGTTAAGTGTGCACATACTTTTGAAAC